CACACACACACACACACACACACACACACACACACACACACACACCTGAGCAGAACTGAACAGACCCGAACCAAATAGAGTAGAACTGTGCTCATGGAGAAGGGGCTTAAGATTTTCACGATATGATACATGTTCACATTATTTATTGACTGTATCCAAAATTATCAAATATATTTTAAATTTAAATGAAGATATGAAATAATCCAATATAAAATACAATGACTTAAATTATATTATTATTTATGCTTGGTCATCAAATTAGTGTCAGTTGAATCTGTCAACTAGGTTGCCTGTAGGTATTTTTAAGGTCCAGCAGGTGTCAGTATTCAGTGACACAGGATCGACACCTATCAGTACCGTTTGGCAATGGGTCGAAACGCTTCATGTCTCCTCATCTACCCATCACTACTCTCCACTGTCGATCTGTAAAAGGACCTCATCAGCTGTAGGTTCAAGTAGGTTTTCCTGATAATACCAACAAGACGTGGCTTTAACAGAAGCTCCTGCTGCTATTATTTTGGGTGGGTGTCAACAAAGTTCTAAAGAGCACACGGACGACTTGTGGTTCCTTTTTTTCACGCTGAGGGACAATTCATAAGCATTTAGTGCACTGCCCCTATGATGATGAGTGTTATTTTTAGAACGCGTCCCCGTGGGTGTCTGAGGGGACTGTGTTGGTGACCCCGTTCTACACTGTTTACATAAAAATACCGTCAGGCATTGTCTTCCAGAGGATGTGAACATTTCTGCAGATCAGTAATTCAAATATTTGTTAAACATGGTTTATGAGTCCTCTGAATGACTCTTGAAGTATTGCGTCATAAAGTGTGTATTTTAAAATAAGGTTGATCAAAAAATTTCAGCTGCCCTGTAATAATAATCAGAACTAATAAAGAGTCATAAAGCTGAGCTAAGTCTAACCTCATTCCAGTGTAGTCCACTGTTGGACTGAAATATTTAGTTTGGGTTTTGACTCTTTCTTAAAAAGACAATGATCAAAATTTTGAACCAACAAACTCATCCTGCTTCCTGTCTTGATATCTTCACAGTGCTTGAAATGTACAGCAAACTAAGGGAGCAGCTGGAATCCAAAAGGTAACTTCTCACAAAACCTTTTATCAAAGCCTAAAATATGTGATGATTCAGTGTTTTTCCTAACATTATCTAAGGGGGCCACAAAGCTACAGCGTGAGTGTGGAGTAGGCTGAATGGTTTCTGAAAAATCCAGACTGTAAAGTATTCATTTGATTCAAGGTGAACAAGTCACGCTCTGTGAACATAGCAAACAAGGCGTTTACGACTCTTTTTCAAAGACATGCAGCTAAACTTTGACGTGGCACCAGATAAGACCAGTTTCCAACACATACTGTGTCTGCAGGCATTATGGCAATGATGAATGGGCTGTAGGGCTGTACTTATACAGCCCTTTTCTATCCAACCAGGATACTCAAAGCTGAGTCGAACCACTGATGCTCACATTGTAGGATGACCTTTAACCACTCAGACACAGCCATCACCAGATACAGGTTCTGGTGGACAAACGTTCTGAGATCTGCTTTCCTTCCTGTTGTTATTACAGTGATTAATAACGTTTTCTCATCTTAATAAGTTATATTTTCATATTAATAATTAAAATGCACAGATTTAGTTTTAACAACACCTGGTTTGCTTATATAAAGACCAGAGTGACGTGATTAAACAGTAGAGGTTTGTGAGATTCATAGATTAAATGTACATCTTCACAGTTTTGTTGACATGTAAATTACATTTTAAACCTAAAATTTTAAAGATGTATCATTTTTGGACCACAGTATTAGTTTAAAAGTGAATTTGAATTATGATAAGCTTTATTTGAAATAAAATGGTTTGATTTTACAGATATTATTCTGCACTGAAAACCATGGAGCAACTAGAGAAAGTTTATATTCCAAGGTAAGATCACATCACCAGTTTCTATGTTAAACAACAGCTGCCTGTAGGGCTGTATATATTCATCTGGTGCATCACTTTTTATTTCTGCTCTGTTTTTTTGTTGTTTGCAATCATTTTGTATAAAGTCACAAAGGAAGTCCACCCTCTTTTAAAATAATAGTCCAGTTAACCTTGAAGTAATGTTCTGTGTAATAATTATTAGTAGTTAATGAAGTTATCAGCCCTGATGTCAGTCTAACAGCAACAGTATCAAAGAAAAAGGCACCAGTCTTCATCTAGGCTAGGCTAAAGGCTAACCAAACGAATACTAGTTTTTAGGTTTTTCAGGCTTATACTAAAAATCCTTCTCCAAAACCACATTCAAATTTGAAAGAATGCTACATTAGCTAATGTTAAACACTTTGCACGATACTGTTTAGTTTGTCGCTGTTTTCTCAACAAAAACAATGTCTGTGTTATGCTAATGTGTGTGTGCTAAAAATAGAAAGACTGATTGTGCTGAAAGTTTCAGTCCTCCGAGTAGTGTTGTAGTCAAGACCACCTAACCCGAGACCAAGTAAAGACCAAGACCACAATGTTTCCATGTTTGTCAGTAAATCTTAAATAAAGTCCTACCAGTCTACTTGTTTCATTTTTATTTGGAAAGTAAGTAAGTAAAGTTTTATTTATATAGCGCCTTTCACAGAAATAAATTCACAAGGTGCTGTTGATTCAGGGAAGTGGGGAGGGGGCAGTTAAGAAACACCCATGCAAGGACACATACAAGACAAACATGGGGGAACAGGTGAAACAGGTCATGCAGCAAACACAGTTGTGTTACCTTTAACAACAGCTTGAAATACACAAAAGGAATCACATCCAGTTTGCAAATTTTTTTCCCCCAGCTGAGAGTCTGTGTGCTTCCAGCCGGCAGAATCCTTCAAGTGCACCCGACAGCTCTTCAAAGGCCCAATTCACTGTCAGGGTCGCTTTCACTTTTCGATAAATCTGGAACCCTCCTCTGCCGATCAGTAGGAATCCAGTTATCATAATCCAAATAAATAATGATCTTCCATGTCTTCGATGGAAAGTGGTGCTGGCATATTAGATTCCAGCTCCAGGAATCAGACAAATCCAGCAGCAACCATTCCACCCAGACAGTCACGTTCATTTCATTCCAAGTGTAGAAAAAAAAATAGCGTAAATTTCATTCAGAGTCCATTTGATCAAATCCATAATTCCTTTAGTTTCAGATGGAAAGTGAAAAAAAGAGCTTGAAAAAGCAAAAGCTGCGGGGGGAGGAAAAGGAAATTTGTGAATAAATCTAGACGTAATGTTGGATTAGACTGTAGATCTTAAAGTGAGCTTGAGTTGTGCTGCATTCCTCTGCAGGGTCAGTAAGTACAGGTTCTGTCAGATTATGGCTGAAAACCTGCCCAGACTGAGAGAGGAGATCAAGGAGATCTCAATGTCAGACCTCAAAGACTTCCTGGAGAGTATCCGCAAACATTCGGACAAGGTTGGAGAGGCTGCGATGAGACAGGTACGAGATTATATTTACATCAGTGAAACAGCTGTCGTCCACACCTTTACAGCCTCTCTCTCTCTCTCTTTCTCTTTCTCTGTCTCTGTCTCTTTCTCTCTCTCTGTCTCTGTCTCTGTCTCTGTCCATCCAGGCACAGCAACACAGGACGTTTAACAGTGCAGTTGCAAAGCAGCTCAATCTAGGCCACTACACCAAGCCTGTGTATTCCTTCAATGGGCGAACACATGTTCCCAACGGCCTGTTGATGAACGATGACACAGGAGATGATGAGGAAGCTGATGAAGAGGTGATGAAATTATGTGTTGTTGGGTGTGAACAACCGAGACATAAAATGTCCTTTTTTTTGTTTGTTTTTGTTTCCTGAACGTGGAATCATTTTTTGTGTTGGGATATTTTAAATAATCAAATAAAGCCCTGTTCGCATGGGATAAGCATTATCTGGGGGACACTACGTAATAAATAAATTACTCCCCGATGTCTGTTTTTTTACGTGGCGCATTCGCACGGGATAACGGATAAGCCTGAGATTTTACCAAGATTTACAGACATCTCCTGGATAGGATAACTCCACAAAGGCCACGTACGCCACGCATCATTCAAACTGTTTATTTGTTCGTCAAGCCTTTGCTGTCCTATTTACAACATTTTATAAGTTATAAAGTGTTCTGCCACATGTCCCCTTTGGAGAATACTACAACAACGTAAGTGCCAAGTATAAACACCCACATCGCTGGCGAGGACGCAGGAGTACCCAAAGCACAGCTATAAACAAAACTTAGTACTAGGCCGCAGCTAGGTGCTGTGTTTCTGTCCGTGAGGCTGACACTCTGTCTACTTTTAAGATTAGACTGAAGACTTTCCTTTTTGATAAATCCTATAGTTAGACTTAGGTTTCCTGACTTATTCTTCATTTCTGCTGCTATAGACTTAGACTGCTGGAGCACAAACTGAGCACATTTCCTCACTCTGCTGTTGTCTTTAGTCTCTCTTCTCTACATGTTTATTACCTCCGCCAAGGGCGAGGTAATGTTTTCAGTCGCGTATGTCTGTCTGTCTGTCGTTCTGTCGTTCTGTCTGTGGACAACATTACTCAAAAAACTTGTGGACGGATTGTCATGAGATTTTTAACACATGTGGGTACTGGGCCAAGTAACACACCATTGAATTTTGGGGATGTTCTGGATCACGATGCGGATACAGGAATTTTTTTTCTTTTAGTAATCGGCAAAGCTGTGATGCTTTCATAGGGCTTCTGTAAAAAACAGTGAGCTGGGTTGGACAGCACGGACTTCAAACTTTATAAAAGTAATGTTAAAATCATATTTAATGATGAATAATTTTTTGCCATATTGGGCCTCCTGCAAGAACCGTTCGTACGCACAGATTTGTTCTTAAGTTGTGCGTACGAGTGATTTAGGAGAATTTGTGACATTCACCAATGTTTTCGTATTCTACGATTTTTTTTCAGATACGAACAAAATTTACGAGTGGTCCAGACCTGTCGTATATTTTACCAGCAGTCAGT